TTAGCCTATACTCCAGCAGCCTAAGAGAAGAGGCATGCTAATTTCTGAGGACAATATTACTTACTTCATTCTCTGTTAGTGTGTTATTACCAAATACCTGTCATACACTCAAGAACTAAAGACATACATAGAAGCAAGAAAATGGGACCTGAGGTCAAGACATATAACCAGCAATAGGGCAGACCTAGAGATGGTCCAGATACTGGAAATATGAGAAAGATACCTTAAAATAACTATTATAAAAATGCCAAAGTTTCTAGCCAAAAAGGTAGCCGACACCAGAAGAGAGATGATGGATTTTAGCATAGACATGGATGCCATAAAAAAAGAAAAAAAGTAAAATACTAGAAAAAGAGAAATATATATATATACAATGTCAAAACTAAAGAATGCATTTGATGGGCTTAACAACACAGACTATTAAAGAGGAGAAGACTGGTAAAATTGAATTCTATTGAAAATAATGAAACTGAAATAAAAGCGAAAAAGAGTGAAATAAAAACAAGACAAAATGTCTGAGAGTTATGAAACAATATCATATAGTTTAAAACAGGGTTTCTAACTGTTGACACTGTTGAAATCTGTGGCCAGATAATTATTTGTCACCAGAGAATATCCTGCACTTACAAGATGTTTAGCAGCATCTCTGGCCTCTGTATAGGGAAGCATAAAACAAAACACTGCTGACCACACAGCAGAAACAAAATAATGGGATAACATTTAAATTGCTTGAAGACAAAAAATTCTGACAACCCAGAATTCTGTCTCCGGAGAAACATCTTTCAACATGAATAAAGCCATTTAAGAATGTCAAATTTTGTGAGAATTTGGAGCAGACCTGCACTACAAAGATGGCTAAAGTAAGTTATTTAGGATGAAAGTAAATAGTGCCAGATGGAAGTGTGAGATGAATTTGTAAGAAGAAATAAAGACTGCTATAAATGAATTGAGAGATTCAATATAATCCACACCAAATTTCAGCAGGCTCTTTCGAAAGAATAGACAAGCTATTTCTAAAATTTATGTGAAAATCAAACAATCTAGAATAGCCACAACAATGTTGAAAAAGAATGAACTTGGAGGCCCTTCACTACTTGATTTCAATATTTTCTGTTAAGCTCCAATAATCAAGATAGTGAGGAGAGACAAACAGCTTAGACAAACAGAATGGGGCATCTAGAAATTGATGTCCACATAAATGAGCAACTGACATTCAACAACGCATCAAGGCAGGCCATTGGGAAATAGATATTTTTAAATAAGTGGTGCTAAACAGTCATTTGAATGTGTGAAGAAATTGCAGCCTGTCCCCAATCTCATTCTGTCCACAAAAATTAATTTGAGGTTAATCACAGGCATAAAATAAAACCCAGAATGATGAAGTATTTTTTTAAAAGTAAAGAATATATTTAAGATTTTGAGAAATGTTTACTTGGCCAAAATACAAACTGACTATAAAAAACACTGGTAAAATGGGTTCCTGTAAACATTACAATTTCTGCTTAAGACAACATTATAAGATTAATAGAAAGCTAAAGGCTAGGAAAAATATATTCTCAGTCCATATATCTGAAAAGAACTTTTAGTTTATATAAAGACCTACTAAAATCAATAATAAAAAGATTAAGCACCCAATTTAAAAACTGGTAAAATACTTGAGCAGCCATTTCACAAAAATATGTATGAGTAGCCAATTAGCAAATGAAAGCACAAATTAAAACCACACTAATACACTATTTCACAGCACAAGAATAGGTAAAACGGAAAACCGATAACCCTAAATGTTTCCCTCTATGTGGAGAAATAGAGCTGCCATAAATTGGTAAGGTACAAAATGGTTCAACTGGTTTGGAAAATAGGTGATTTCTTATAACATTCAGTGTAATCTACCCAGTGACTCTGCAATTTTACCCCTAGACATTGACCCAAGAGAAATGAAAACATATGTCCACAAAAGAATTGTACAAGGAAACTTACAGAAGCTTCATTCATAATGGCCCAAGAGGTGAAACAACCCAAAGTCCATTTACAGGACAATGGATAAACTTACTGTGGTATACTCATGCAAAGGGATACTGCTCTGGAATAAAAATTTTTAAAAAAGAGCAATCTAATGATTCATGCAGAAACATATAAAGATACTTTTCAATATGGATTAATCATGTGAAAGAAGCCAGATACAAAAAAGTATAGTGTACATAACAACATTTTTATAAAGTCCAAGGACAATCAAAACTTGAAATATAATGTGTTAGAAATCACATGAAGAGCTCACTTTTGAGGGAGTGTGGATTTAGTGAATGGGAGGAGATGGAAATTTTCTGTGATGATGGAAATGTTCTGTATCTTAAGTGGCTTGACGGTTACGCAGATGGATATCTGGGTTAAAAAATCATTAAGCTGAACACCTAAGAGCATGCGTGTTAATTATAACTCAATAAAGAAGAGTAAAAAGGCAAAAACTCAGTAAAACAAAAGGGCAAAAGACTTGACAGTTTGTAAACAAAGATACACAGAGGCCAAAAAACACATGAAAGATGCTCTCCTGCTTCTGCTCAAATCAGAGGCTGCCATGGTCTCTACCAGTTAAAACTATGCCATACCATGGCCATGGCAGCCATCCACAGGTCAGGAAACCACATCAACAAGCCACCAATGAAGCAACTTCCCCATCAAGATACATGAAGCTAGTGATTGGACACCCCACAGCTGCCTCCTGATTTTCATAAGTTGGGGCTACATACTGGAATATGAATGCAGAGAAAAATAAAATTTGCATATCCATGCCCTTGTTTTCCAGAGCCTAAAGCAGTAAAAAGTGGCCTTTGATTCATCTTCACTTTCCAATTTGCTTGGGTATATAATTGGTGGGCCATATTTTGCATGCAGAACTCTAGCTCTAAGGGAGTATGGAAAATATTGTTTTCATATTTCAGTGTCTTCAGAGGAGAAGACCCACTAGAAGGCTGCTGCAATGGAGACCTGGTACCCAACAGAGGTAGGTACCATTATTATTTATATTTTGCAAATATCGAGTCTTAGAAATACTATTTAGTTTATTATTAAGGCTGGAATTGGACACTAAATTTTAGGCTTCTTACCACTGAGCTGGACTTAGTAAGTTAAGTCAAATTTTCTTTGCATCTTGCTTACTTCATCTAAACATTTTGTATAATCTTTGGTTCAAGGCCTATGACCCAGAGGATAATGACATTGAAAGTCTTCTTTGGAATATTTGAGAAAACTTACCATCTGAGAATTACTGTTTTTTTTTTTTCAATCTAAACATTTTTAGGTACTCATTTTCAATTAAATGGTACATAATTATATGATTAGACTCAGATGAGCTACAGGGAAATTCACCAATCTATTTGAAACTAAAAAATAATTGGAAAGCCTATCTGTGATGCATAAAACTGTAAGAAATATATACTTTAGCTTTATCAGTGACTTTGCACTGAAAATTATTCTGGGCCTGCCAAGGCAAAGCTCATTCTGGAGAACTGTATTGCAGAATTTCAGGACACATTCTGAGTCCATGTGGCAAATTATTAAAGCAAATCCTTCTGGGTCCCTTAAAGTTATATTTTACATTTTACTTTGCAAATTACTTAGAAATTCATTCTTCTATCTCATCGTGAGAAGAGTTCAGCCTTCTGAAAGGCTATCTGCAGTGTCTTTGAGTGACAGGTTCTATATTGGAAATTAAGACTTGGTTTTAATTTGCACTTCAGAGCATTAGTCTGTAGGTAGGAGAAGCCAGAGACCTTTCTAGAGCCCACTCTACCATGTTGGAGACAGTTTCTGGACACCGCAGTGCTTCAGTGTTTGTATTCACAGCCAACCTTCATGGAGGACCTGCATTTCCTCCTGACCCTCCTTAGCCCCTAGGATAATGAGAGGGAAATGAATGAAGCTCTTCTCATACTACCATGTTCTGCTTCCCCATTGTAACCTGTATTGGGTTCCTGAGGAGAGAGTATAACGTCCCAAAGGAGAGTGTAAACTCATAGGTAGGGACTAATATATTCAAAGAATGAGTTTTCCTGCTGGTATCTTGTTTTGTTTTATGTTTTGGTTTTTAAGACAGAATTCCTCTCTAACATCTATCACAAGTTTTTAAAAAAACTTTTTTAATCTAACAGAGTTGTTATTTTTTCTAGGATGAGATTTGGAATTATGTTCAAGCAATTACTTAATTCAGGAATTATCTGCTGAATACCTAAACCAGCGATGGCAAATGAATTTTGTTGAGAAGGAAATTAATGCAAGTAAAATATTTATGGTGAGTGAAAGTATTAATAATTAAGTTCATGTAGTCCAACTTGATGAATTTCTCAAACTAAACACCTCTCTAATCAGTGCCTGGGACAAGAAACATTTTAGCATCCCTGAAGGCCAGTATCCCTTCCAGTCACTAATCCTCTAACAAGGTAACTGCTGTCCTGACTTCTAACCCCATAGGTTTATTCCAGTACTGATCTAAGTGGAATTCTATAAAAAGTGCTTTTTTTGGTCTGCTTTCTGTTGCTGTTTTACTTGTGAAGTTCACTTACGCCATTATGACTAGTTGCAGATTGTTCATTTTCTTTACTGAATAATGTCCCACTGTGTGACCCTGCCATGATTTATTTATCTAGTCTACTGTTGATAGACATTTAGATAGTTCTAGTTTGGAGATATTATAGTGTGTCTATGAATATTTTAGTCCATGTATTTTAGTAAATATATTTTGGCCTATCTGGTGGATGTAAATCTTGGAGTGAAATGTCTGGATCATAACTATAGATGCTCTACCTTCATCTGTCTGATTATGTCTCTAATTTCAATGTTCACTCTTCCATCTCTTCAGAACAGCATAGTTAAGTTTATGGTTTGAATCTCTCCATTTGTTTTTGCAACAACAACAAAAAAGATTAAGCATTGAAAATTAAATTTAAAAAGATGTATCAGTGCTCAAAAGAAAGATATCGCCATAAATTAGAAATGAAAAAAAAAAGCATTAAGCAAGGTGACACTCTGGGTCTGGAATTAGGCAGAGTTTATCTTCTTTGGGAAGATAGTGTAGATATGTACATCAGGCAAGGTAAAGGGCTGGGGCTAGCTCATGGCATGAAACTGTGTTCTCAAAAAAGCCTCAGAGAAAGTTGTGATTGATAAAATTGCCTCAGGTGTGGCTCATATGATGTTGAATACCTGTGGAAATTGGAAAAAGGTGACAAGCCTTGTGGGCAGCTGTGTTTACTTCTGTGGCAGGAGATAAATTTCTCTGAGCTCGCCATGGATCAGAAACTCCAATTTACTGTAGGAGACCTACTTCTGCATGGGGGAGTGGGGTGGGAATGCCAGGTAACCCCAGAACTCCTAGAAAATAATGGATGTGCAGAGAGGGAATCAAAACTGCAACAGCAACAACCATAACGATGACACAATTACTTCTCAAGATAAGCCTGCAAAGCAAAACTTCAAAGTATTTAAGTCAAGTCAAGGAAGATTGCTCTCAGATGAACTAATGGTAAAAATAAATTATGTATATAAAATTAAAAATGAAAGAATTATCTAAAAATAGCTGAAGTATTTGATTTGTAAATTCAGAGGTATGATAGAAGAGATAATCTTTATAAAAAAGAACAACTGAAAGCATAAAACTGAAAGAAGATGTATTTAACACTTGATTGATTCAAAATCCTGGAAATGGAAATAATAGATTTTAATATGTACATAGTTGAAGAGAGAATTTAAAGAATAAAAAAAGATGATTGTGAGCTACCTTCATTTTTTGTAAATGAAATAATGAATTTAACATGGAGAGAGATTGAGATTTTAAAAATGTAAAGGAGAAGTTATGGAACAGGGAAGATAGAATAACAGTAACTGATTCCAATAGATAGATTAGGTTAAGGGAGAGAAAAGAGGGGGCTACAAGACCAATGTTCCAGAGAATACTGGCTGCAAAACTTCTCAGAACAAAGAAAATCTGCAAACTAAATATTGACGACTCACACTCATCGTGCATTGGGATAGAGGACAACAGAACCACATCAAAATGTTGTCCTCAAACTAGAAAGTATCAGGAATGAAAATGAAATTTTAAGTGTAAGCAGAGAGGAAATACAAGTTATTTACACAGCAACTGTAATCATAGACGACTTCTCATCAGCAATGCTAACTACTAGAAGATGAGGAAATGCTATTTAAAAATGCTGAATAATTTTAACACTGAAAACTACCATTCAAGGAAGGGGGTAAATTAAGGTGTTGCCTGGGA